CACCCCTCTTCCCCCCACCGCACCTGGCTCACCTCTCTTCCCTCCCCATGTCGGGTCCCCCTACCGTCCCCCTCGAGGCCAGTCATCTTTCCCTTCCCGCCAGTGCTTACTGCTGTGGGGCCTTTATCCCCTTCTGCCCACAGAAAACCAGAGCAGCTCTTGGACTGGCCTGTGTGGGCAAGGCCGTGAGAGACGCAGGTGACCCCTCTTCCCCCCACCGCACCTGGCTCACCTCTCTTCCCTCCCCATGTCGGGTCCCCCTACCGTCCCCCTCGAGGCCAGTCATCTTTCCCTTCCCGCCAGTGCTTACTGCTGTGGGGCCTTTATCCCCTTCTGCCCACAGAAAACCAGAGCAGCTCTTGGACTGGCCTGTGTGGGCAAGGCCGTGAGAGACGCAGGTGCTTGAGCCCGGCACTTGGGGTGACCTAGCTCCTGGGAGAATGTTTCTGCTCACTTGGGTGTCACCTTTCGGTGAGATGTATTAGCCACACTGATGCAAGACACAGGACACCTCCACACTACTGCATCATACACAGTGCAGCTGGGTTGCTGTGATGTCAATGTAGTTTTACAGTGCCTGGTGTAGAATTGATATTCCCAAGTTTTATAATAAGGAGTTTTCCAGATAATCTTTTGGACTGAACATGCTCAGTTTGATTCTTTAGTTTCTCATTCAATGCAAGAAGCTTCCAAGAAACTAGAGCAGCAAAACCTTTTTCCAGAGTAAGTCTTAGTTTGATGTTTCATCAAAGGACTGATGGCAGTTTGCACCCTGTGAGGAACCTTCAAATGGTGGAGACCTTGATGCAACGGAGCACTTATTTGATCTGTAAGCAAGATGTGGATGCTAGAATCTCTTAACTTTAAGGAAAACTATTTTATTCAGGTCCAGTATGTTGAGCCCCTTGTTCAGATATCCCCAAATTTGGATCTGTATCAGAAACCCATGCTACCATAACAAATTTTAGATGCAATTATTTTTGGTGGAGATTTTTTGGGGGGGGGGGGTCACTCCAAGATTTTGGAAAGTGGTCAAGGGTTTCACTTTTCTGTGGAAAAGGTGTGGAGTCTAGGATGGCAATTCGATGTAGAAGGGTGCACAGGATAAGAGACTGGGGTGCAGGAGTTGGCGTGAGGTCTGAGAGGGAGTTTGGGTGAAGGAGGGGATTGTGACCTGAGTCAGGGGATTGGGGTTAGGGTCAAGGAGAGAGTGTGGGGTCAGGAGAGGATTCTGGCCTGTGGAAGGGGAGTAGGAGAGGGTACAGGGTCTGAGAAGGAGTTTAGAGAGGGCAGGAGGGTAGAGAGGGTTTGGATGGTGACTTGGGGGAGGGAGTTGGGGATGCGGGAGGGGCAGGGGTGCCAGAGGTAGGCTTTGCATGGGATGCGCTTACCTAAGCGGCTCCTGGCCAGCACCCCCAAGGCAGGCTGGGCTTCCTGCCTGCTGCAGCCCTAGACTGCTTAAAGCTGCAGGCTGCTCCTGGATGTGGCTCTCAACTCTGGAAGAGGCTTGTGCTGCCCCATCTCCCAGGCCAATCTCTCAGCTCCTACTGGCTGCTTGTTTACAGTCAATAGGAGCTGAGAGATTGGCTGGGGGTGGGAAGGTCACGTGAAGCTTTCCCCTTCTTCCAGAGCAGAAAGTCACACTGAGTAGGAATAACAAAACAAAAAAACCCAGTCATGTAGCACTTTAAAGACTAACAAGATGGTTTATTTGGTCATGAGCTTTTGTGGGCACAGCCCACTTCTTCAGATCATAGTCTGAAAGTGAATTGGCATGACCATTATATAACAGAGGGATACAATGAAAAAAGTAAACCAATTTCAAACTAACGAGATGCCCCATTTATTTTTTAACATTTAGCAAATTTGAAGTCTTTGCTAGTTTTTCAATGGCAGTGGAGTGACTTTAAAACCTCAGAAAAAAACAACAAATGGTCTGGTAGCACTTTATAGACTAACAAAACATGTAGATGGTATCATGAGCTTTTGTGGGCACAGCCCACTTCTTCAGATGACCGGAGTTATGAGTAGGGGAAATGAAAACTCGAAATAAATAGAAGGGGATGGGGGAGAGAAAGATGCTCTGTCTCCCACCCTTCTTCCCCCCTCCTTTTTTCTTGAAGTATCTGGAGAAAGGATGCTAAACTTGAGCAGATAAAAATCCAAGTCAGTAGATAGATTGCTAAGGTAGGAAGGATACCGTTCAGAAAGCTGTTAGCACCTTCAGTGATAAAGACTCCACCATCCTGTATCTCGATTGAGCCCATTAGCATGTGAATTGAATTTGTATATGTATTGTAATTCCAAGTTTTCCCTGTGGAATTTGGTTTGAGGAGCTGGCCTGTGACAAGACCGCCACCTGCAGATCTGTTAGATTATGGTTAGGTAAGCAGAAATGTTCTCCCACTGGCTTCTGAGTATTCCCTTTACGTATATCCGATTTGTGTCCATTGATTCTTTCCCAATGTCCAATTTTACCAATATATATAGCAGAGGAGCACTGCTGGCTTTTGATGGCGTAGATCAAGTTACTAGATGAGCAGTCAAATGACTCTTTGATTTTGTGGCTTATGTTGTTTGCTCCAGTGATGAATTCATTAGTGTAGATATGTGGGCAGAGCTGGCATCTTTTTTGGTTGCAGGTCTGGGTTTCAGGAGGCTTATGATGTGGTTGTGTGGCATGGTTATCAGAAAGAATACGTTTCAGATTAGGGGGTTGTCTGTAAGCAAGAATAGGTTTTTCTCCTAATGCCTCTGAGAGTGAGGGATCATTTCCAAATTGGGTTGTAGATTGTGTATAATGTGTTGGATGGGTCTGTGTTGTGGACTGTAAGTAACAACAAGAAGAGTTCTGTTATTTTCTCTCTTGGGTCTGTCTCGAAGTAGTTCATGTCTTGGTACTTTTTTGGGTCTGTCAATTTGGCTGTCTTTGTAATGTGTCAGGTAATTATCATCTATGTTAAGGCCCATTCGCAACACGTCAAATTTTAGAGTAGGGATGTTAAATTTCAGTTAATTAACTGAATAGTCAATGGGATTCCCATCAACTGTTCAATTAGTCGATAAGGTCTAGCGTGGCATTCCGCCTTAGAAATGTACAAGAGCCCCAGTAGTCCCACAATATTCTTGCCAGCAAGATAAGGGAATGTGGATTGGATAAATGGACGGTAAGATGGATAGAAAGATGGCTAGAAGGCCGGGCCCAGCGGGTAATGATAAACGGCTTGATATCAGGATGGCGGTCGCTTTCTAGTGGAGTGCCCCAAGGTTCAGTTCTAGGACCGGTTTTGTTCAATATCTTTATTAATGACCTGGATGAGGGGATGGATTGCACCCTCAGCAAGTTTGCGGATGACACTAAGCTGGGGGGAGAGGTAGATACGCTTAAGGGCAGAGATAGGGTCCAGAATGACTTAGACAAATTGGAGGATTGGGCCACAAGAAATCTGATGAGGTTCAACAAGGACAAGTGTAGAGTCCTGCACTTGGGACAGAAGAATCCCAAGCATAGTTACAAGCTGGGGACCAACCGGTTAAGTAGTAGTTCTGCAGAAAGGGACCTGGGGGTTACAGTGGATGAGAAGCTGGATATGCATCAACAGTGTGCCCTTGTAGCCAAGAAGGCTCATGGCATATTAGATTGCATTAAGAGGAGCATTGCCAGCAGAGCCAGAGATGTCATTATTCCTCTTTATTCAGCTTTGGTGAGGCCACATCTGGAGAATTGTGTCCAGTTCTGGGCCCCCCACTACAAAAAGGATGTGGATGCATTTTGAGAGGGTCCAGCGGAGGGCAACCAAAATGATTAGGGGGCTGGAGCATATGACTTATGAGGCGAGGCTGAGGGACTTAGGTCTGTTTAGTCTGCAGAAGAGAAGAGTGAGGGGGGATTTGATAGCAGCCTTCAACTTCCTGAAGGGAGGTTCCAAAGAGGCTGGAGAAAAGCTGTTCTCAGTAGTGACAGATGGTAGAACAAGGAGCAATGGTCTCAAGTTGAGGTGGGAGAGGTCCAGGTTGGATATTAGGAAAAACTATTTCACTAGGAGGGTGGTGAAGCACTGGAATGGGTTACCTGGGGAAGTAGTGGAGTCTCCATCCCTAAAGGTGTTTAAGTCTCGGCTTGACAAAGCCCTGGCCAGGGTGATTTAGTTGGGATTGGTCCTGCCTAGAGCAGGGGGCTGGACTTGATGCCCTTCTGAGGTCTCTTCCAGTTCTATGGTTCTATGATTCTATGACTGCTGCCACGAGTCCCTGACTCCTCCCATGGAACTGAAGCTGGGGGCACCAGCTTTTAAACCTGCTCCCCCAGCACTTGCTCCTCTTCCTCCCCCTTGCTGCCTCTTTCTGATGGAGCAAAATACAGGACTATGTAGTACTTTAAAGACTAACAAGATGGTTTATTAGATGATGAGCTTTCGTGGGCCAGACCCACTTCCTCAGATAAAATAGTGGAAGAAAATAGTCACAACCATATATACCAAAGGATACAATTTAAAAAAATGAACACGCATGAAAAGGACAAATCAAATATCAGAACAGAAGGAGGATGGGGGGGGGAAGGTAAATGTCTGTGAGCTAATGATATTAGAGGTGATAATTGGGGAAGCTATCTTTGTAATGGGTAAGATAACTAGAGTGTTTGTTGAGACCCATGCGTAAAGTGTCGAATTTTAGCATGAATGACAGTTCAGAGGATTCCCTTTCAAGTGCAGATTTAATAGGTCTTTGAAGCAGGATGCAGGTGATTAAGTCATTGAGACAATGGCCTTTCTGGTTGAAATGGCAAGAAACTGTTTTTTTCTATGTGATCCTGTCTAATATCTGTTTTGTGGGCATTGATCCTTTGGCGAAGTGTCTGAGACGTTTGTCCAATGTACATAGCAGACGGACACTTTTGGCACATGATAGCATAGATTATATTTCTGGATGTGCAGGAATATGTGTTCTTGATCTTATAAGAAAAACAGTTTTCTTTTTCTTTTGCATTGGAGGTATAGCAATTGTTCTGGTAAGTGTATTCATCAGACATGTGCATACAGTGCCTACGTCACCTCAGCTAGTGTTGGATAGCCACAGGCTCAATTCTGAAGATGTGGGTCTCTGAGGACAGTATTGTTAGTATGGTGATCCTCCCATTTTATTCTAGGGGGCTTTTGAAGAGAGAGCTGCTGCAGGTATGCCAGGTGTTTTTCTATAGGGTCACCTAAGTCTCACAGTCATAGAGATAATTTGACATTATCCCTATTTTATAAACTAAAAGTTTAGTGTGTCTTCTGATGAAGTGATTTTTTCATCATCAGGCAAGACAATTTGCCAAAGGCAAGTGTAGCATAGTGGATTCTGTGCCGAATCTCCTTGTCATGGAAGATGTGCAGGAAGTGTTGTGGACGCTTTCCCAGGTTAGAATCGTGCAGGAGGCTCCTCCTTGCTTAGTCACTTAATTCCAGGCCATGTGGAGAACCTCTGAAATGGAGAAGTGATATGTGTAATTAGAGGGCTGCCTCCTATGCAGGTTTTTAATTTACTGGCTAGTGCTTTAAAATCTCTTTTTTTAGCTTGTTTTAAACAGCAGCAGTAAAGAAAAGCTTTTAAAATATGTCAACAAATGGTGTTCCATAATGCTTAAAGAGCTGTATGACAGATTTTACTGAAATATATGCAGGGAAACAGTTCTATTAATAAACCACTTTAGTCAGGAGAATGAAGACTGTTCTACGTACTAAATGAAAGATATGGCTTGGATAACAAAGTCAAATCATGGAGTACACTATAATTGTCCAGGACAGCAAAGCCTGGTGTGGACTTGCTGTGCATAGAGCTGATCCCACA